TATTTCCGTCAGTAACGGTGTCTCTTACTTGCTCCAATTTTTTCATTATCATTTTCCACACAGGTTTTTCGTTGTGAAAATATTTCTTGTTAAATCTCGATATCGAAACTTTCCACCTTGATTATGCAAGAAGAATCGACGAACGAACTTGTTCGGTCTCACACGATACTCCACTGCGAACTAGAGCTTTGATTTATGTCATATGAATTCGCCAAATCATCTAACTAATTATTTTCTCACTTAGATATAATAAACGAGATAAAATACTCCGTTTAATTAAACATCTGCCCCCACGTCGACGTTTCGCTTGTTATTATTCGTTGAGAGGGATCGGAAATGAAAGTTTGTAGAGAGTGGTAGAGCGACGAAGGAATAATTGAATGTTGAAGTTTTTCACGCTATTTCACTAAGAGCTCGTGTTTTCATTGACGATGTTTATGCAATCAAAAACCCCCACGAAATCGAACTGATTATTGTTTGTCTCATGAGAAGGAGAAAAACTCAACACACCTACAAGTTTTAACTGTCTCAAATCGTTTTCTTCTTAGAGCCTAGTAAATTTTGAAAATCATCATGGAACCCCTTTATATCCTAACATCAAATCGCCGAAAAATGTAATGTAACGACATACACCGTGACCAACTAACGTGAGTATCAAACCACAAACTTTGCCAAATTCCTGGAGGGAAAAAGTGATTCACGGAAATGTAGACATTTTACAGTAGGTCCAAACTGCTTCACCCAAACATTTTTTGTCTAACGATACAGCAGACTAGCAATACCAGTCAGGCGAACTCGACTGACCAAGTCAGCACATTCCTTTACCGTGAACCTTGAAAAATGTCGAACAACACTCTACCGAAACTTGTTCGCCTATAGAATTTCCTGCCAATGGAAGTATTCTCAAGGACTCATTACCCTCAAAAGTTGAAAAAAAAATCCAACACCTACCTCCTTCCCTATAGGTATGCGCGATATTCCACCAACATTATAGGAATTTTCTAGACCAAGAGACCATCCAATACATAAGTAACAAGTATACAAATTATGAGAATGATTGACCAACCATTTATACCTCAACCAAACATGCTCTATCTGAAACAGATTATATTAAAAAGTCTTTCACATCAACTACTCAACAAATAGATGAAGTATAATTCGACGGAGATCACAACATCAATGAACTCTCAGCCAGAGCAGCTTCTATGTAATAAAAAAATAGGGAGATGAGATTTCTCGTTATCTACTTCTGCATAGATAATTGTGTGTCTCGTAAGAATATAATCTGAACACAAAAACGCAGTCCGGCATTAAGGGAACAAACACTTGCAATCAGTTTTTTTAATACGAACCTTTGAATAAATTTCGCTAAGATTTAGGTGACTCTGATTATTTATCATTCTCATTCCCCATTTTCTCAGCCCGAATTCCTCAGTAGTCACTCATTTGAAATCCGAATTTCGTATTCACACAATGACACAAGGACTAATAAATATCAACGATCGATTCATCGGGATCCAATAACAATTTGATAACCTCGAGGGTTCATCGAGCCATACATATACAGTGTGTCCAAGATAAGGTTGAACAGCATGGGGATCTCGAAAACGGTGGGAGATACGAAGTCGCTTAAATGGGGAAAAAGTTGCGCATTTGGAGGCTCATATCAAGAGCCTTCGAAAATTTTGAAAATTATTTTTAGTTTTTGAGTTACATCGAAAAAAGTGAATTTTTGGAATTTCTATTTCAATGTTTTTCTTTGTTATTATTGGAAATACAGAAAAACTGAAAATTGTTCTTCATAGCAACTTTTGATGACGTTTAACGTCAACTTTTGTTTTTTAAATACGGTCCTGATAATTTTTTCATAGATTCTGAAAAGTTTTTTTATTCTGAATTCAACCATGTATTATACAAAGTTGTTTATGTGTGTTTCGACCAATTTTCAGCCATCATCGATGTTTTATCGAAATTACAAAGGAAAAATGCCATCAGTTCCACTTATTTTGAAGGAAAATTGGTCAACACACTAATACCTCATCAACTGGTTTCAATCAACAACTCATTTCATTTTGCGGAAACAAAAATTCCATCCATACAAATTCAGAATATGTCAAGCGCTAAAACCAGGCGATGACGAAAGGCGCAGGACATTCTGTGAGTGGAATACCAGGAAATGTCAAAATTTTGCAGATTTCCCTCGAACAATAATCTGGACTGATGAAAGCATGGTCACTTATCATGGTATCTTCGATAGAAAAAATACACATTATTGTTCACGAGAAAATGAACATTATTTATACATTACAGCGAGACACCAACACCGTTTCGGCTTTGATATGTGGGTTGCAATATTTGGTATACGAATTATTGCTTGAGAATCATCTTGAGGAAGCTCTGGATGATTCACCGATTGCGAAAGTTCAGAACTGTTGGTTTCAACGAGATCCGGTACATCATTCCAGAGAAGTCCGTGCATTTTTATCCAGAGAAATGGATTGGTACTCATTCTACAGTCCCTTGGCCGGCGCGGTAGCCTGATTTGACACAGCTGGATTTTTTCTAAGGGGATACATCAAAAACTCTGTATACGCAAATTAATTTTGATGATGAAGAAAAACTAAGGGCCAGTGTCATCGAAGCATTCAATAAAATAAACCCAGAAATGCTTAGTAATGTCTTAGAAGCAACTGTGAGAAGAGGATATCTTTGTTCAGAAAATAATGGTTATATCATTTTGAACATTCGTTATGAATGTATCTGTAGGTATTGTCAAAGTTAAGTTGTTAAAGTAATTCGTGTAAGAATTCATCAACAATTTTAAACGCTGCATTGATCGAATGATTGTGTGAAATATTTTTTATTCACTTTCTAGTATTGAATAACTAATCCATCAAGTTTGACACTAAATGATCAGAAATAAGTGGAACTGATGGCTATTTTCCTTTGGAAGTTAGGAAAAACATTGATGATGGATGAAAATAGGTCGAAACACATTCGAATCACCTTGTATAAGACATGATTGAATTTATAATAAAAAAACCTTACAGAATCTGTGAGAAAATTATCAGGACCGTATTTGAAAAACAAAAGTTGATGATGGTTCCACGAATTCGGAACGTCGCATAAAAAAATCGGTATCACCACATTAAACGTCATCAAAACTTGCTATGAAAAAGTATTTTCAGTTTTTCTGTATCTCTGATAATAACGGAGAAAAAAAAATAGAAATTCCAAAAATTCACTTTTTTCGCTATAACTCAAAAACTAAAGATAATTTTCAAAATTTTCGAAGGCTCTTGATATGAGCCTCCAAATGCGCAACTTTTTCCCCATTTAAGCGACTTCGTATCTCCCACCGTTTCCGAGATCTCGATGCTGTTCAACCTTATCTTGGACAGACTGTATATTATTATTGAAAATCCCTCAGAACCAGCGCAATCTCAGTATAATAGTCCATTCCTCCACTTTGACAATATATCCCGAAGAAATTGATCTCTCAATTTAAATAATTTTCTCAATGAACAATCACTCTCCTACTAATTCAATCATTATTCTTTATTCTCGATCAATGGTGCGTTGAAAATCGTATATACATCAGTGAGTTACAAGAGGCTTGTTGAAGTAGTGAAAAGGATATCTTCTTCTACTTCAAATATTTTGATGATGAGTCATTTAGGAGAGACCAGCTGATGCACTACACACTGTTTTACCACTAACCAAACCAATTTTTTACACCTCGACAAGTGTTTCGCTAACTATATCAGCATCCTAGGGGAAAGATTGAAACTGAATATTCTATTCTAGTGTGCTACTTATACAGGGTGATCCACGGTGGATGGCCTATTAGAAGTATCTGGAGAACGAAAAGACAGAACATTCTGAAAATTGGAATGCTTCGATAATTCTATCCGTCTGAAATATTTTTATAAATACAGTATTGTCACTTTTATCAGAAACAACTAGAAACTTTGTTATTTCAAATTAAACTCGCTGTATATTATCGCATTTTTAGATTCCTCCTGAAGAGCTGATTCCATCGATACAGGGAGAGATATAGGGTGTTCAAAATCGAGATTTTTCATTTTCTCATCATCGATCAAAACATCTTGCATGTCCCTATCCTTACTTTCGATTCACTATTTACTGACATTCAATTGGAACATCAGATATACAGAGGGTGATCAGAATTCTGAATCCTGAAGCACCCTGTATTTTTAAATTGAATTTCAGTAAATAGTGAATCAGAAGATGAGATAGGGACATGTAAGCCGTTTTGAATGCCGTTATGAATAGTTTCGACACGCAAGAATCTTAAAATTGAAAAATCTCGATTTTGAACACCATATATCTCTGTAATCATTCCTGCTACACCCCAAGCGTGATACATTGATGATATCAGCTCTCCAGGAAGAATTTGAAAATGCAATAAAATACAGGGTGTTCCATTTGAAACTATAGAATATTACACTTACTACAAATTACATTTTTCCTGCTGGAAAGATGAATGATCCAATAACACCATCTCCGAGAAAGTCCTTTCATTTTCTACTCCAGTTCGCGTTTTCCTAAATTATTAAACAGCCACTGAGTTAGCAATTTTCCAAAATGAAAATACAGAATTCAACTGACACATATTTGATACCTTCAATTGAATGATAAAGATGCCTGCAAAAGATACCTGCAACGCATCAGGTGCAATTCCTGTTAAAAACTTTCACGTCGATAGTTTTCTGATTTTGATTTAAAATAATATCACCTCCATATTGATTCATCCTTCTTTCTGCCACATAAAATAGTGTATTACAAACGGAAAAAATATAAAATTTCAGCTAACGGTTTTTTGTCTCCCTTCGCTACACCTCGGTAGGCAACACAACCTCGAGCTGAAATAAACAACTCTTTTCCCTTTTATAATAAATAGGTATATTTCATCGTCATAATGAAGAATGCATCAATATTCTGAGTCACTCAGTGAAATCTCTGATAATGACGTATATCTGACATACAATCTCATAAACCTTCAATAATGTATCCATTTGGCATACATCATCATGGTCAAGTCATCATCATGAATCTGTAAATCTTCATATCAACACACCACTTTCAATTCTAAATCCCTAGTGAAACATGATTCCCAAGCAGAGAAGTTAGGAAAAAATGGCCACAGCAAAATTTGAAGAATCGGGTTTACCCGTTGGAATAGATCTTGGCACAACTTACTCTTGTGTTGGAGTCTTCAGACATGGTGAGTTTGAAATAATATAGATACATCCAATCATAATTTATATGATGAGTTGATGATTACATCAGTCAATGAACTCCGAAAAAGGAGGTGTAGAGGACATGGAACACGAAATTTTTTTCAAGACTAAGAATACATCACAGCAAGAAAGTCTATCGATCCAAAATTGTAGCTGATGAAATTATTTACGAAACTGTATCAACAGATCTTTTTCGTATCCTCCATCATTTTCGATATATTCGCTAGCGAATCATGTCAATTTAATTCTCTAGAACTGGAAAACTAGGAATTATTAGTAAATTGGACGTCCTCATTTCAGATCAGAGGATACTTTCCTCCTAATATCATTCTCCGGAAATGTAGGTGGTTCTGTGTTTGTTGGCATGCAGTGTATAACACTGAAGATGACTCCATGGTCAAAGTGTATATTTTGGGTATAGAAACCTAACTCAACATATATTACGAAAGATACAGGGTTGCTTTCATTGGAATTGAGACAAAAAGTATATATGTGACAACATTTCGAAGGTTATCAACATTTTTTTGATAACATTTATTGATCCCAAGAAACATACAATGTTTATAGAGGGAAACAACAAAAAAAATCAAATATGCAATACAATGAAAGATAAACAGTTCAATCAGAATTAATTGATACAAGGGGAGAGTTAAATTGATAAAATTTATTTCTTCAGTTCACACTTTTGTGACGAATCTAATAGATTTTATGCTGTTGGGTAAACCATCATAAATATTCATTCCACAAAAATACAATGATTTTTTCCCGAATTGGGTTTTTATTTTAACAGTTTTCAAATTTTCACTTTGTCTGGTGTGATGCTCATGGGTATCAGAATTGATATTGAAAGTAAGATTCGATTGCTTTTTCTTATTTTTAGTGAAATGAATGAAAATGCATACTTTCATTTTGGAGAGAGAGTCAATATCTAGTAGATCTCTTGGTTTGTATAGTCTAGGTGTTGATTCCAGAAATGGTAGTTTATAAATACATTTTATGGCTTTTTTCAAAACAGATTTTGCTGCAGTACCCCAGATCGATATCAGATACTGCAATTTAGAGTAAATCAAACTGGAATAAATTAATTTCAACTATTCAAGAGGTATAAGAGACCTAAATTTGTATAATATACCAATAATGGGAGATATTTTTTTCCTGAGCAATTGAATATGCGATGACCAAGATAGAGTCTGGTCTATAGTTAAACCTAAGAGTTTGGAGTTTTTTGTAGGATTTTTACAAAAACTCCCGAATTTCAACGGATCTATTTGGTTATCAGGTATAACTCTTTTCGAGATGAACATGAAAGAGGACATATCGAAATTGAGTGTCAATTTATGATTTTGTAACCATAATGTTATTGAAGCGAGATCTTGTTCCATTTGGTTTTTTATTTCTTGTATATTTTTTCCGTAATAAATGAGAGTTGTGTCATCGGAAAATAATTTTGAATTCCCTTGTGATTTCAATCTTGAGATAGAATTTATATAAATTAGAAATAAAATAGGTCCGAGAATTGATCCCTGGGGTACACTACAAGATATATGTTTCTTATTGAAGAAAATGAATCTCCCATATACACAAACTGCTTTCTATCAACTAGATAATTTTCAAACCGAGAGTAAACTTTACCTCTTATCCCTATTTGAGTTAATTTCAATAATAGAATTTCAAAATTGACTGTATCAAATGCCTTTCGCAAATCCAGTGATGAGAGTCCACATCTGTAGTCTGAATCTTATTTCAACTGGATGTCAGTAATAACATCCAGTGTTGCACATTCAGTGTCACAGGATTTCCGAAAGCCATATTGACCATCAAAGAGAAATTCAATTTTTATTAAATAATCAGATAATCTTTTATGCATAACTCTTTCAATAATTTTGGATAATGTTGGTAGCAAATAAATGGGCCTATAATTATTCATTGAATATTTTTTTCCATTTTTGAATATTGGTAACACTTTTGCAATTTTACAATTTTTGGGGATCGAACCGGTTTCGAATGTTATATTTATCAATTTAGTTAGTAATGGCACCAATTCTGATTTAACTGCTTTGACTAAATATATGAACATTAATGTGAATGAATCAGTGTCGGGAATAACTTCAGATAATCGAATCCTTTGTTACTTCTTCGTCGAAGATTCTGGTGAACAACTGGAGGTGTACCCATCAGAATACGGTAGATGAAAATAGCGATTTTCAAAGACACGAAATGAACCTACTGGTACAATTTTGTATACAATTTCATGAACAATAATTCGAAATGAGGAACCTTTCATGTCGCCCCCCGCATTTGGCTCTCCTCGTAGGTTGGAGACTTTTGGTTCTTTTTGATTCTTATCTGCTCCGAACATATTCCTTGTCTCGAGAAAAAATTGCCTCTTTCTTATCCTCTACAACTCGTTCATTGACTGAACTAGCAGTAGTCAAGGAAAAACATTCATTATTCCAGATTTTCTTGGGATTTTCTCTCCTGGAATAATGAATGTACCATCTCCTCAATTAACCTACAGACAGTATTCAAGGAAAAACATATTCTCAAATCGTCCTATAGTACAGAATTATGTATCTAATCTTTGATTTTATTGAAGAATATTCAAATGAATAGTGATTATTTGGAAAGGAGAACCAGCATGATCTCTTCTATATATGTAAATATTTTTTGCATATTAGCATAGTATATAATTATGTACGTTCGGTAGTTTTCGATGGATGAGAACTGCTATATACAGAGAAGTGCACAAAAAACGGCTAAAACTGTAACTTTTGAATTATTCGAGATAAGGTTTTCAAAATTGGTAGGTAGCTAGTATATCAAATTACTCACTAATTGACGAAACAATTTTTGTTCTATCACTTCCGGTTTTACTGGAAACGACCCCAACTTTTGATTTTTAAATGGGACACCCTGTATTGTATTCCATAATCGGTTAGGGATTGTCATAACGAATTCATCGATACCGGGTTTGATAGGGTTATTTCAAACAATTACGCAGATATTCGCGTTCTAAGTTTCCATATGCTCAATGAGTGTGACAGAGAAAGAAGTTTTGATGTTGCGAAGTCACACCTATTGCGCATATGGGTACTTCGAACGCAAATATCTTTGTAATCGTTTGAAATAACCCTATCAAACCCGGTATCGTTGAATTCGTCATGATAATCCCTAACCGATTATGGAATACAATACAGGGTGTCCCATTTGGAAATCAAGAGTTGGGGTCGTTTCCGGTGAAACTGGAAGTGGTGGAGGAAAAATTGTTTCATTCATTAATGAGCAATTTGGTATACTAGTTGCCTACCAATTTTCAGAACCCTATCTAGAATAATTCGAAAGTTACAATCCTAGCCGTTTTTTGTGCACTTCTCTGTATGTTCAATTCTAATCCATTCCTAGTTGAATCTAGAAGCATTTTTTCTTCTGAGTAGACTTTTCTGTAAATTTCACAGAACTTGGAATATGCTACACGTATGTACTTGAGTATGAGCATTGAGAGTTGAATCCAAATATCCATCATTTTTTTCGTCTTGCAACCATATGTATCTCCGAATGCTTCTATATCTAAAACTGGTTCTCCAAATTTATCTGATGATTTCGTCATGTCAAACTGAGAACAATCCACTATCTCTTACATGCTTTTCCATGTGGAATAATATGTTTCATTAACATACGTTTTTTTTAAAGGAACTGTTGATATAATCGCCAATGACCAGGGAAACCGAACTACTCCAAGTTACGTCGCGTTCACAGAGGTAGAGAGGATGATCGGCGATCCTGCCAGAGGACAAGTTGCTATGAACCCTACTAACACCGTATACGACGCCAAAAGACTGATAGGTATTCATCACAACATATCACAATTATTCAACACCACACATGCAGTGATCTTTCTGGATCTCTCGTGTTTGCCTTCTTTGACGGGTCTTGTCTTTTTTACGGTTAGCTCTTCCTCCTCCTCCTCCTCCTCCTCTTCCTTTTTGTGATTTTGGGCATTCGGTTTCTCCTCTCTCAGCGTAAGAAACCTTAGTTTTTATAAATGATGTGGTTGCCTTGAATAAATATGTGTGGTAGCAAAAGATCATATAGGACCTCTAAGTGGCTATTCGAGTGGTTTTTATTTCATCAATTGCACTCAAGTAGGCACTGTGATTTCAGCCAATACTGTTTCGACCCATATACCATCAATGACTCTGATATACATTTATGTGCACATTCTTCTTCTTCTTCACACGCTGAAGGCTACTGTACTTTCTTGAACAATTTTATCATTGATGTCTCATCATTCATTCCGAGAAGAATTGTTATTTCTGTCTGAATTCTTGTTCATTTGAAATTGTTGCTGTTGAAAAATTGTTCTATCTGTCATCCAGCTGCCCCCTTACGAGCAACCCTCAAAAGTCTTCAAGAGACTTGTGCGAGCAGAAGGAATAACTGGAGCCTTACCACTCAACGTGTTATCCCAAATACTTTCTTGGGCCATCAGAAAAATGTCTGCAGTCGTTTGGATTCAAACCTAGCACGACCAGCAAGTCATCGTGATCAAAGCTCTGAACGGTTCTACCACGCATCAGCAACCGGCCCCCCATTTGAGCTGCAGCTTGAGATATACTTTTGATACTCTCCTCCATGAAGTTTCTGAGGCTGAAAGGTTTTCTCAAATAGAGATGTATTCATTCATGATAAGAGGAGAGGTAACAGTGTCTTTCCTTGTAGAAATTGGTTGGAGAACAGGAAATGGAGTCAGGAAATTGCTGCCTAAGAAGCTGAACTGAACAGGTTCTTATCGACGCACACTTCCATATACATTCAATTTTTGTGAAGATCGTGTAGCACGGCTACCCTGAATCATAGTTCGAAATGTACTATTCTTCGTTATATTTGAATTGTGCGCAATACCATCAAACATCAACTTGTCTGAAAGTTGATGTTCGATGGCTAGACATAGAACTAGACGGATCGCCTGGAGAGAGAGGTCTGAGGGATATTTAATTCACATTCCCCGTTAAACCCGGTAAGAGTATTTGGGTGGAGGTGGTGGGAGGAAACTACGTCATAATGACGTCAACCCGTGTACCTCTCACTTCGACATCCACCCCATTGGTTTTCAAATTGAATATTTCCATGATATCCTCTATTTTTACATTAATCATTTGTGAACAAATATTCAAGTTTACCTTTAACCACCTATACTTAGTATGGAGTTGGTGAAACCAAGGGCAGGTAGGGGAGGTGTATCCAAACGAAAATTACGTCACAGTTGAACACAATGAAATGGGATTATCAGCTTCAACCATGACGAGAAATATCCCTCTGGTATTGTGGCACGAGTTGCTGAGTTCAAGTGCCTGGGTTCAGCAATGCCGTCATCACTAATTAGCAAATGTGGACAGTGTGAGAGTATAATTCAAATCATTATTCAAACATTTGAAGCGAGGCGTATTTAATTGCCGATTGCCAAGAAGAGCCATCACGCTGTCTAGTAGCTTCAGTAGACTTGGATGTTTCGATTATTTTTGATTGTTCGAAAACGATCAACTCTCGCCACCTCTCGTACTCTGCGTGCCAAGAATATGGTGTTTTGTATAACTGGTATGTATTAGTACTTATTTGTTATATTCGTGGCATTAGCTAACCATTTAACAATTATACGTTTTGTGAAATTAATATTGTTTCTCTACGCAAGTCTGTCCCTCCCCCTTGAGAACTATGAGAATCTCTTATTTGAATAATGTTTACGACTGAGCTTGTCTACCACAATCGACATTCCATGATAGTTTAATCAGATATAAAAGTGGCTGTGTAGTCCATGGAATGTCCTATCCATCAGGAATTGGATTCAAATTCGACTTCAATGAAGAATGACATTGATGTGATGACAACCGTGTGAAAACCACATGCGATCGAGATGACCTGATAATCATCAATGAAAAATATCGAAGTAGTGAATCATATTAGCACCGTATCATGGAAATGGGAAATGCACTGAAACTTATATCTGTTACCTACCTAGCGACATTCTTCATGAAATTATGGATTCATTGAATGACAAAAGCAAATCCAGGATGATGATTGTTTCATACTTATCATTCTCAGAATATGTTATATTCAATACAAAGAACTTCCAGAGCCAATTCAGATTGACTCCTGAATATTTCCATGAGCTATATGCACATTTTTCCCCTTTTGTTGGCTCGACTTTTCCATCAGTAGGTACCTCCCTATTCCGTATCTACTAAGTATTTCTATTTTACAAAGTTTTTGAATACAACAAGATTTCTATGATGTATGTCAAATACCCTTATTTGTCAAACATTCCAAACATTCCACCACGCATTCGATGTTCTGAGATGGAATGGCCAGTGCCACCAGGATTTATTTATTTATTTTATTTATTTATTGAACAAATAACTTCCAGACAGAATAGGCTCTGGTATAAGGAAGTACATAATTATATACCTATAGGTAAACATATCATTATACAAAATATATCAACAACTGTAAATTGACAAACAAAGAATAATATTTGTAAAAAAAAATGGCATGTTCAATTTTATCCAGTTCGCTCAGAAATAATCAATTTTTTCACTTCATTTTTGAATGAACCTGTGTTTCTGCAATTTTTTATATTGTCAGGTAGTTTATTGAATTCAGTTAAGGCTGAATGAGTGAATCTTTTTTGTCCGATAATGGAGCTAGCGGCGTCAAGATGAAACAAGTTATATTGTCTTGTTTCATGATTATGAATTTCAGAATTCCGTATCAACATAAAATTCGACTTCAATTTTTTATTTATGATATTATATGATATTTTGAGAGTTTCAATTCTATATATTTCATCTAAAGAATACGTATTTGTTATTTCAAACAATTGATTGGTTGGTGTATCAAATGGGAGACGATACAATACTTTTAACGATTTTCTATATAATGTTGATATTTTATTGAAATTGTTCTTTGAACAAGTTCCCCAAACATTTATTAAATAGTTGATACGACTCAGTATATGAGAGTAGAGAATCATGTTTGCAATTTTAATATCAAGTTTGGGACATCTTCTCAATGCACCAATAATTGGAGATATTTTTTTTGTCAGAACATCAATATGTTTGTCCCACTTCAACCTGTCATCAAACCAAATTCCAAGATATTTTATCTGGTCAGTTTGTTTTAAGAGTTCATTTTTCATTTTAAGGTTGAGGAAAATTTTTTGTTTATTTTTTTGGTGAAAAATCAAATATTGATGAGAAATTCCACAGAATAGACAATAAAACGGCGATTCTGTCCCTCTGGTGACACTAGCAATGCTAATTAAAAGCAACTATAGTGGTTTCAAGAATCGATATCAACATACAGAAGTCGTCTCATTGATTTTGTGGACATTTCTAGGAAGAAGATTTGACGATCCAGTGGTGCAGCAAGATATGAAGCACTGGCCATTCGAAGTGATCAATGATCGCGGAAAGCCGAAGATAAAGGTCCAGTACAAAAACGAGATGAAGACGTTCTTTCCTGAAGAGATTTCCTCTATGGTGTTGAGCAAGATGAAAGAAACTGCCGAGGCTTTCCTGAACGAACATGTCACCAAGGCCGTTATCACTGTACCAGCTTATTTCAACGATTCTCAGCGGTAGGTGATCACTTCCACATCAACATCATTATACAAGGCACCCTACAGCCTCCAGGCCAATAAATATTCAGCTCCTCCTGCTCATCCTACCCCAAAGAAATTAAGTAACAATTGAATATGCTGATATGGCATCAAATGTTGTCCGAACTATTGAGGCCAAATGAACTTTTTGTCGAATGAATATGCCAGACTCTACAATATAGAAACTCGAATGATAGTTCCTCTGTACTTCGTATCATGCTCGTCCCATATTGCATCCTGTAGCTACAATTCTAGCTAGTTCTTTATCAGATAGTCCTCCATCTCCAACTCAAAAACCTGTTGTGATCTGTTTCTTTCACTATCACCAGAGGGGTTGTTCTCTGTGGCAATTCCCTTCTTTTCTATTCTATTTCCTCAGAAATTCCAGAATCTGTGGTAGCTGAAGTTGGTTCTTCCATTTGGCTATCTCACCCTCGAAATACGTGAGTACCTAAATAGTAGTAGTAGTAGTATAGTGGGAATGCTACTGCCAGACAAGTAGGTTCTTTTTGTCAACCCCTGCTTTCCACATATCTACACATCATTCTCCTAGTTGTCCTTTCTGAACCTCCCTGACCTTCTGATGTAGGTCAGGATGTCCTTCCACTCTGATTCGATCAAATTCTCCTGTTCTTGGTTATCCACTCCAGATATTTTGAATACCAATCTTTCATACGCCTCACACTCTCCGAAGGAGTGAAATGACGCTTCCCCATTTTTCACGCATTCACGACAAGTGGTACTACCTTCTACACCAATGAGTGATAGTTGTCTGCCCAAACCATTGTGTTCTGGCAGTAACTATCACTAGTAGGAGTTGCAGTTATTTGCAATCCTTGCCTAGTAACCACGCCATTTTTGACTTGTTTGGATCGCCCACCAATTCTAGCCAGCTCGTCTGCTACTTCGTTTCCGGGCACCTACTATGACCCGGAACCAAAACTAGCTCGACCAACTTCAGAACAGCTAGTTTCTCAAGTGCATCGCCGCATTCGTGCACGACAGTGGAGTTTGGTTTGGGGTGGCAGATACCCTTGAGCGCCGCCTGACTATCCGAGCAGATGTAAATCTTCTGCTATGGTTCCTATTTCACCTCTTTTTTTTTCTGTTACGACCAGAATGGCAAATACTTCAGCCTGTATGGGTATTTTCCTCGAGCGAAGCTCTTCCTCATTACCTCTGCCTCCTAAATGAATCCTTGCACCAGAGTCCTGTTTGTCAGTGAAAGGTGCGATCCGTTCGTGAAACATACCTTTCACCTTCTATTCCATCCCAGCATATTTTGAGCGTTCTTTCCTCTTGAGGTGTAGTTAGGGATCTCCTGCTCCACCTATTTTACTGTTTTCGCGTTACCTGTCATTGCTCTTTCGTTAACCAAGCTTCCGCATCCAACAATAGCACGCCATTGCTTTCCTCCTGAGTGAGTACCTAATCTTATTTTCATTCTTCAATTTGCAAGGGCATTCCTATGAAGGGTATTAAAGGTGGATTGTAACATTTGATGATGTCATGCCTCGTATGGAACGCTCTAGTATTTTTTCCAGTCAGGCCACCAAAGATGCTGGTACCATTGCGGGCCTTGATGTACTGAGGATAATAAACGAACCTACAGCAGCAGCTATCGCTTATGGACTTGATAAAAAAAGTGATGACGATAGGCACGTTCTGATCTTTGATTTGGGTGGAGGAACTTTCGACGTATCTATCCTATCGATTTCTGGAGGGATCTTCGAAGTTAAAACTACTGCTGGAGATACACATCTTGGTGAGTAACTGAGGCGACGAAAGAAAAGTTCATGATTCGTTCAGAAAATGTTTCACAATTGAAAAACTCGTGGAAAACAATATGTTGGTGTGGAAGAGTACCTGATCAGTATAGTATGTGGTTCACTGCGAAACTTGATATTTTGAATAATTGTAATGACATCTATATAGACATTTGATGAATTCACGAACGTAATTTGGTCTTTTCACAATGCATGCACTAGACATTTATCGGGCTTTCAGATGAATAATAATAATAACTATTCCACTCTTGTTCTTGATAACCAATCAGAATCGGCCATTTTCAAGGTTCATTCTGTATAACAGCGATATTTTTTCAATACAAAATTTTATCGGACTTGCTCTATCCATACAGAAGATGTATGATTGCACACGTGACCAATCGACCTCGTTTTTTAGCGATAAAATATTTGACATTCAAAACGTCAATCATGTTGGGAGCCAGAATTCAGCTTGCTGCTTTGATTTCGCTCATGACATTGATCAAAAACTTCTTGCCTACGGCTCAAAAGTTCTGATCACTCATCCACAACTTCGACACTGTATACAAAATGTTCAAGTCTGGAACGACAATTTCAAATATCACGAGAACTGTTCATGAAGGTACTCAGAGAACAAAGAACGTAAACAAAAAACGGCTTTCTATAGTCATATGTCTATTGTGAGACAGATAGATTGAAACGTCTAAATATCATAACTTTCAAAAAAGAAGTTCAAAGTTGGCTTATTGAAAATGCAAAAAGACTTGATGTTTTTTTTCAATCAACTTTTCTTCCATTTTTTCCAATTCATTCTCATTATTGTGTGATTTGATAATTTGTTTCCATAAGTAATATCATGATGTTCCGAATATTCGAGATAACTCTGTTGCTTCATTGTTTACGAAATTTTGTTGCCGAGCAATAGCTGTACGGCAACACAATTGAGTTGACAATGAGAGACCGAATTATTAGAAGAAATTCTGAACAAAGTGGTATTTTGCTAGACTATTCCACATTCACGAAGCTCATGTTGTCGCGATAAGCACCCGATGTCTCTGGCTTGTGATCGGTCAGATTATGTGATGTTTGTGAATAGATAAATGAATGAATGAATAAATAAATAAATAAATAGATGAATGAATGAATGAATAAATGAATGAATGAATGAATGAAATAATGAATAAATGAATAAATTATTGAATGAATAAATTAGTATTGCCAAAGAAAGGTTGTATGTACTTGTAATATTTAATGTATATGACAAACGAGCCAGCGGCTATAGTACATAGACTACAATCATTAAAATCAAATCTCGAACGTTTTCGGCAACATTGCCATCATCAGGAGATTTCTGAAAAGTGGAAGTTATTTTTAGTAACATGTGCTTGAAAATTTTTATTGGAGGTTAGGAAAGTAAAGAAATTTTGAAAACTCACTTGTCAGAAATCTGTACAAAAGATTACATAAGAGGTGATCATTTCGTCAATATTTGTTGTTATCCAGTTTAATATACTATAAATTACTGTGTAATTATAAAACCAAATGGCAGCCAAGCTACCTCCACTGTAAAACGGGAATGACTGAAGAAGTCCTGTGTAGTTTCCTGAATTTAAGAAATGACGTTTGAAAGATGACATTGATAGGCAAATTGAATGACTTACTGTTGACATATGTTGACAGACTACATGGAACATGAAAGTAAATTGAAAATTAGAAGAAACTGGATTTTGACACCAAGTTGACAGATACAATAATGTTTGAGTTTGAGTGTTAACCTAGAACAAATAAATAGGATATAATGCAATTGTTGTATAACAATATTAAATTACATTTTGATGAAGATAATGTTATTATGAAGCAAATGAAAATGTCTCTCCTGATCAAAGACTATAAAAACAAATATTATTGTGAAGAAGAACTACTAAGTTCTTTTAGAGATTTGAAAATTGGTTGAAAACGAGTTTGGTTTAAATGGATTTGAGTATTCAAGCAACTATTGTTTGTTGAAATTTCCTTAGTTATTTCTAAGTCTTCAAGGAGATCGAGTTGTAAGTTATTACCATTGACTGTATGTAAGATTTTTATTCCTGATTCTAAGTCAAACTTATGTTTAGTTGCAGAAATATGTTCACCAAAACTGGAAGTTTGTGGCCTGTTGAGGTGTTCTTTGGTTCGAACTGAAATTTTCCTAGCAGTTTTTCCAATATATGTACTACTGCAGTCTGAACAGGATAGTTTATAAATACCACTTTTATCAAGAAAATTCAATTTATCTTTTGTATTTGTGAGAATAGAACTCAAATTGTTTAATGTTTTGAAAGAAATTCTGATATTATTCAATATATCTGAGAAATAATTGGATACTTTTTCTGAAACACCATTAATGTATGGAAGGGAGAAATATTTAGGTGTTGGAACCATTTGTTCCTGACTATTGTAAGCTAGATTTCTATTTCTTTTATAAATTGTTTTTTGAAGAATTTTGTCGACAATCAAAGGGTTATAACCATTTGTATATGCTATTTGTTTAATTATGTTAATTTCTTTTTTGTAATTTTCATTGGAAAGAGGGATATTGAGTAATCTATTGATGTAACAATGATGAGCTGCCATTTTGTATAAAAATAAAAATTTTCAAGCACATGTTACTAAAAATAACTTCCACTTTTCAGAAATCTCCTGATGATGGCAATGTTGCCGAAAACGTTCGAGATTTGATTTTAATGATTGTAGTCTATGTACTATAGCCGCTGGCTCGTTTGTCATATACATTAAAAATTAGTATTGATTCGAAATGTCATCAATATTTCAAGTCCATGATACAAAATGGAGCTATACATTTGAACTCATTATATATATATACCTATATCTATATCTGTGAGGCAATTACTACCAAAGAATGTTCAATGTGCTGGATTCTGATAGGTAGGTATCTAACTGACATGCAATTCGCTAAATTTTTTCAGTCGATTCCAAATCAAGAAATAAAAAAATCGAAGTATTGAAAACGTGTCACATTTTGTATGATGTATGATATTATATATGATGATCATGAACTTGAGGATTCCACAATGATGTGGAATTTGATTTGGGATTTTCGTCAAAGATATCATGAGTGATTTCAACAATTCTGATTATACAGGCACCCTGTATAGTGCTCGTGCACAGAAAATGTATTTGTTTCATTATAGAGTTGATTTGTTGGAGTATAATATAGCTACGGTACTTTCGATGCCTTAATGGCGAACAGAAATTTTGTTGAAAACATTTTTGAAGAGACTTTCTGGATATTTATCAGATAATTAATCCAACAGAAAATATGTGAATGGAGAAAAACATTTCATGTATACATAATTTTTTGTTCAATATAATAAGTTATATATCGCTAATTCGAAATTGAGAACCAAACTCCTAGAAGAAAAAAAAGTCTTCTCAATGCACCAATATTGAGATATGTATATTTGTTTCTTCGAGGATATCAATATATACTTTCTCCATATCTTGTTCCTTCATGAATCCAGATGACGATATATTTGAATTGAACATTAATTTTTTATCATAATATTCAGATCGATATTTTGTTCATTTTCTTAGGCGAACAGGTATATGTATATTGAGTCTTGTTTTCAATTCAATCCTCAAAATTTATTTGTAGGTCCCTAGGAAGTATACCAGTATTTTCACTTGGAACTTGTGTTGTGTAAGTTCTCGCCTATACGAAGTTATAAAAACTTCCACAAATTACAGAATATTGTATACCTACGTGATATCCTTTCGAATGATGTATCATGAAAACGATAGTATTCAATACAATGATGAGGAATTTCCTGAGAAAGTTTTTCCTCGAAATGAGAATCAAGGCTGTGAGATTTTCAATTTCTCTTCAGAGTTTTCGAAAAAATAACAGTGGAAAATTTACGCTGGTACGAACTGTATAATATCTGAATATGTCTTTGTCTGTATAATCAGATCTATGGTACTATCAGTGCATGAATTTCTCATGATTTTATGATTATTATAACTTCGGTAGATGGTCGTCAATTTGCGAAAAATGTCGAGAGCTCTTTATAATCTTTTTGTTCAAGTGGCCATTGTGAATTCTGTATTTCCATGAGCATTTCTCCAAGCTTTTTGAAGACTTTCAATCTTTACATCTCTCATTCATGGAAAGTTCATGCTCTCTCATCATTTAGAAATAGCTTGTGTAGAATAACAATGAACAGAGCAAGGTTAACATCAGAGGGTAGGGTGATATCTCCGGAAATATATGAGACAAAGAATAGGGGTAACGTGAAAGATCTCAAAGCGTCCTATGAGGAAACATTTTATACGGAACACAATACGGAAATACGTTTTTCTACTCACATAACTAAAATGGCATTTATCGTACGGATATGTACCACGCTAAATGATCGATTAATCACGGATTGTCGATCTGTGATTTATTCAAAATATTAAACACGTCACCATGGCAACACGATTTCTTAAACACATTACCATGGCAACGCAGTTCATTAAACACAGCTTCACTAATTTGAGACATGTCTGGCCTGTCAATTGTATTAACTCTCAACTGTTATTTTCGAATTTTGTGTCAGAATTATTCAAACAATATTCGTTTGTATCAGAATTCTTCATTGAAAATATATACGAGAAGTAGAAAGTGAAATCGGAGAGAATGTTCTGGTACTTGCATATCTCCAAGAAGTGTAAAAATGAAGCATCCATCTTTGAGAACAAAGGTTAGTAAGCAATGGACTGGACACTTATACGTGTCTCGCTGGTTGCATGCATCAGTTGCATTCATTATGTTCTCAATTCCCATTCCTTTCGAATTATTTTGTAGGTTAGCAGGAATTGCAGGTATGTTTATGTAATTTTTGGTGTTCGTAGAAAAATCATAGTATGTAACGCGTTCTAAAACTCTTCTAGACACTCGTTTATTAAACACTCGCTCCGCTCTGCTCCGCTCGTGCTTAAACTACTCGTTACTAAAAGGACGTTTATAACACTTGTTACATAATATACTATTAATCATTTTAACGGGTTGATTTTGATGATACCCCATCAAACTTTGACTTTGATTTATCGCTGTGTGATTGCCACCTTTGACTATTTAAGGACACGTGGGCCTTCATAAAATTGATAACACGACACATCTATGAAATTTTTCAATGTTTTTATGAAGAATATCTATTTAATATACATAAACATAGAGCACACGTCTGTGTTTCACTCCATTTTATTGTCTACATTATCACATTTTCAACTATTTTTATGAGCTTATATGAGCCTGAAACATGTAGTGCGTAGTTGATCTTTGATCTTTTGAATGAATATTGTGGAGATGACTTTGGTTTTCTTCATACAGTGACTACAGTATGACCCACTGCTAATGGAAATACCCCTGTATCCTACGTAATCGTTGGGTAAGAAAAAACTAGACAAAATGGTTTATTTCATATTGATATCGCTAATTCTTCTATAGGTCAAAAAAGATTCACCCACGCTGCTCTCTTGGAATAAAACAAATTACCAGATAATATAAAAAATTGCAGAAATACAATAAAATTCAAATAACATCTTGAAAAATTTATCATTTCTGAACGAAATAGAAGATTCATTTATTTCACTTCAACTTTTGGTTTATATTCGAATTGATTTCTGCTCACCAATATTGAATAATTAATGTTTTCAAATATTATATCATTCATGAGTTTATTATATAATTGTATAGTTTTAGGTATTGTTGTTAACTATACTTCCTTATATCAGAACGTGATTCTGACTGGAAGTCACATTTTTAATAAATAAATTAATGAATAAATAAATTAATGAATACCAGAAATGCACTATATGATCAAGTGGGGCCATCTTCAGTGATATACACTGTTCGCCAACAGCCATGGAACCTCCCCAATGGGCTTGTATCACAAAAAATTTTTATTTCATAATTCGATAGAACTCACCCAAACTAGCTCCCCACCGCAAACCGTTTCTTGCTGTGAGCTCCATACGTTTTATGAAAAATTATTGAAATCCTCGATTTTTCAGACCTCTGAAAACGAGGCGATGATGTGACGTCAAAACCCTAATACTGAAACAAGACTATTCCAGACAGAGATGAATGATACATGATTTCTGACAGAGTGAATTAGCGCGAGATCACAGTTGAAAGAATTAATATATCAGTTGCCTCAGTCTCCGTCGGGCGTTTGGTATTTTCTTTTAACTATGGCGAAATGAGGTTTCTACGTCATAAGAGGGTCCGTTTTCAAAAGGTTATATTATTTATGTCCAAAAATAAAACATTCCAGCTAATTTTTCGATCGAATTATGTCGTCAATCATCATTTATGTATAGAAGGATCATTATAAACATGGTTTGAGTTCAAAGTTTTACTAAGGTGTACACGCCCATTTTCGGGAAATCATGTAAGGAGTCAAAATAGGTTGAAAATCACTCCGGATTCGGAACCAGGACGCCCAATTCACTAACTATTCATAGTCTTCCTAGAATATCTCCAGTTCAGAAAAATTGAATTTTGTCTCACTTCTCATAAAAGCACCCCCGTATCTAACGTTATTTTATTTATTTATCTATTCATTTTATTTTATTTATTGAACAAATAACTCCCAGACAGAATAGGCTCTGGTATAAGGAAGTACATAATTATATACCTATAGGTAAACATATCATTATACAAAATATATCAACAACTGTAAATTGACAAACAAAGAATAATAAAAAGAAAAAAAAAAGAAAAAAAAATGGCATGTTCAATTTCATCCAGTTCGCTCAGAAATAATCAATTTTTTCACTTCATATTACATTATATCTAATATGAAGTACATTCGGCAACTAAGTTTAGATCTCCAAATGAAACCACTTTCAGTCAATTCAATGAACCGAATGATTATTTATTTCATATACGAGGTTGTCTCCTTTATAGTAGGAAATCTATGTAAATTTATAGAAGCCTATTGCTGTACCAATACAGAATTCGAAATGACTTCCACATGTGATCAACCAACCACGTTTTCCAGCGAGAATATTTTTGGCATTTATAACGTCAATTATAATTAGTGTTGAATATTCACGGCACGGATTTATGCATTATCATTCATTTTCTGATTCAATCATGAGAAAGTCATACGAATGAAACTCGTGATACTTTTTTCCTAGATATATTCGTCGAATGGCAAACTACTTTGATTCCGTTCATGACATCGTTAGAAACATTTGCCTACGTCCTGATAGTTTCGATTTGCAAAATAACTTTAGGCAGCAAACTGTTATTGTAACAATCGTCGAACATTTTTGGCAAAATAATATCACTTTGTGGTAATGTACAGTTAGTACGTAAGGGTTGGAATGGAAAAGCCAATTGTTGGTCTACTCATATTCTTCATTACGTTATCATCTCAACATAGGTATATTGTTATGAATGAAAACTCTTTCATTTATCGTAAATACTGGTTATTATCATGAGAAACAATAAAGAAAAAATATGACAAATAGGGTATTGCCATTTTCAAAAACTTTGAATGACGTCATAACTCGTACAGTGACGTCACCAAAGATATGAGTACACTGAAGACTGCGCAACTGAAAGAGAAAATCGACATGTCTGAGCTTTTTTCCACTGATGGCCATATGGAGCTTTGAACGAATTTTTTCCAACCTTCACTTGATTAAACTTGATATGTTTGTTCTTCTCGAATTTGCGTTGAATCCAAGTTTATCTAAACTGGCTAGTTTCGAAATGAAACTACTGCCATCATCATTATATATACTGGAAACCACATGTTTGATACACAAGAATCAATCTTCGTACATCAACCATAATCGCACAGCACATAATGCAAGAAATTTAGCCCTTATTATACCCTAATTCTCACTGATATAAAATCCATGGATATAAAAGCAATTGAGCCTCTCAAGATTTTTAGGAAAATTCTACAAGACAGATAGGCATCCGTTTCATAATAGAATAGGCTATGACGATACAAAACTGTGATTATGAGGACTTCAAAAAAATCTCCTGTTTCAATACTTGTTCTCTGTTACATTTTTATTTGTACAAAGTGTTTGTCGATAAGATTATGCATCTTGGACAATGAACATATATTCTCTCTCTCTCTTTCTCATCATGTAGTGTTCTAGGTGGTGAAGACATCGATAATAGGATGGTCGAATATTTCATGGACGAGTTCAAGAGAAAAACCAAGATTGAGGTGAAAGGTAACAAGAGGGCTTTGAGGAGGCTACAAAGTGCCTGTGAGAGAGCTAAGAGGACATTATCATCAGCAACCCAAGCTTCCATAGAAATCGATTCTTTATCAGATGGAGTCGATTTGTATACAGGAATAACCAGAGCAAAATTCGAGGAGGTAAAATATTGGGGTTTCCAGGGGAAGTATAGTAAAACCTAACATTGATGAAAATAATAAATCGTCGGCACCGTTCACACGAATCAGGATCGATTAGGGCTTATGACGTCAGAACTAGCTAGACGAGTGTGCCTTCGAACGGTTTATTTGAACGATTTGAACGTTCCATGAAATTGTAAGGTTATTCGAGTAAGGTTATTTCGTCCGCCCTTCACTGTCGTACTGAATGCAGAACAACATGAATCAGCTGTTATTCCGTTCAGCTAGGTACACCATTTCATATGCTACACTAACGGATTCCAGAAGAATGAAGAAAATTGATCTGTAATTGAAGGGGATAGCTCAATTCGAAATTTGAATTCTAAATTGATGTACTCAACTGATTTGCCAGTATAGTTCCATGTCCAATATGTATTTACATCAAAGGTTACATGCCAATCCCTAATAACACACTTATGTCCCATGGATATCCTTAGGACGTCCTGTCGGGACATTCTGGACGTCCATAGGACGTTCGAATTTGGTAACGTGGACGTCCATTGGACGTCTGTGGGACGCACAAATGTCCCACTTGAGGACCAACTGTAGACGTCCTTGAGGGATGTCCCTGGGACAACTATCGAATACCTAAATCCTACAGTATTCCTCATCAAGCAATACAGAGGACATCCTTAGGACATACATAGGACAACCTATCAGCAACTCTGGAGGATATCAATTGGATGTCCATAGGATGTCCTAGGGACGTACGGAGTATTCTTGAATTTGAATTTTTCTGGGTCCCTTTAGGACCAGATCTTGCATAACTGATTCGAACATCCAGTTGAGTTGATGGTCCGTAGAAGGTCCCCAAAAAGTCTCCCAAGGATGTCCAATGGACTTACATTAAGGACATTGACGAGGAGTACTTATAGCCTACAAGCAATCATTTGTCGGCGAAGTCTAAGTTAACGTCCTCGCAGGGACAACATATTGAAAGTACCGACTGGGACGTCCATAGGACGTTATTTCTAGGACATTGGAAGAGTACAGTTCATGTACCGATTTGGACATCCGACGGATATCCCTACACATTCAAAGGATGTCCCTATGGGACATTTCGATTGTTATACGATCCTGGAAATATTAAGAGCGTCTGTGCAGAGATATTTGAAGGAATGTACCATCAGGGACATTTCATGGTTGTCTAGAAGGGACATTCTATATGATCTGAAGTCATGTCAGAATATGAAATACTTGGGACATCCGATGGATGTCCCTAAAGGACGTTTAAAATCATATTCCATCAGGAAAATGCCAAGGACGTCCTTGCATGGACATTCTACAATATGTACCACGTGAGACGTCTAAGGGATGCTATTTCTAGGACTTTAGAAATGTTGTCCCAGCTGGGACATTCCGTGGACGTCCTTGCTCGGACATTGCATGAGATGTACGGGATAGGACGTCCCAAGGATACTTATTTTTGGTTCGGGACATTCGGACGTGAATTGTACCAAATAGGGACGTCCCTAGGACGTTGTGTGCTATTGGGGATAGATCATATCATTTCCATTCATTCCACCAATAGGAGAAATTCAATAACAAGTTACGGTGGAATGATTGAAATTCACTTGTCTGCGTTAGTTATCATGTGTTTTGACATAATTATCACTATACAAGAAGACCAATGGAGTGAATTGATATGATTGAGGGTTGCTGGGCTGTGTGCACGTGGATATATACCAAAGAAGGAAAGATTTGTATTTCGTGCAAGATAATTTATTCAAAATATTTGTAGCAGAGCGCTTTCGACTGTTGAGTCATCATCAGTGCGTACTCGTCAGGTTAACAGGGAAATTCGTCCATAAAAATACCTTTGGTCCAGTTTAAAACTAACGACATTAAGGTAAAAAATGTTACAAACAAATTAAAATGTGTTTCCCAAAAGGGAACAACATGACATGTCGCAGCGACAATGGCTGCTTAACAAAATGTAATCCATATTCTACCCCGTTTTGACAGGTCGACAGGTCGTTTTGATAAATGATTTGTCCTCCTACATCTGGAGGAACTTATCCAAAATATTGGGTAAATCATCTATTAAAAATTCTAGTTAGTTTTCACCATTCAAATTGTAAGGCAAAAAATATGGACCGACCAGAACTCTGCCTTTTATACCTGCCCAAACATTTACTCGGAAGGAAATTCGTTTCTTCACATGGGGGTTTTCTTCTGCCCAATAGTGCAGGTTATGAAAGTTATTAATCCCTTTTTTTTGCAATTACATTACCTCGTTTGTCCCAGCACTGGGACCAAACGCCCCATAAGTCGAAACTTGTGCGGGGTTAGGTAAGTATACAAACACAAACATCCATGGCCTAACTAGGATTCGAACCTATATATGTCTCGGTGGGAGTCCCCATACGAACTCAGCGCATTCACGCTCTCGACCACCGAGCGTCACCACCGATACAACAAGGCCTGCATGCTTCGTGGGTGACGTCACTTAGTGAGGCCTAACCAGCGGCTCGAAACGACAAGCGCTTATAGCGCTATAAGGCGACCACGTATTCCGATTTTAGTTCTAGATCATCATTGAGCCGATTTTGTTGGTTTTTGAAGGGCTTCCGGTTGAAAAAAAATGCCAGTCGTTAACTGAGCCCTTCTTCGCACCCCATTCGATTTTATTATGGAAAAACGAAGTTTTAAAGCAAAACCAGGATAAAACACAAATATCCACCTACAGCAACTCATTCGAATTAAATATATTGGCAAAAATTGTGGTGAAGGTAAACTTCACACCTACTTATACAGGGCCCGCAGAACATAAACTTATCGTGAGATTGATCGAGAAAAAATTGTGGAAAATTTATTTTATTTTGATTGACATGCCGTTTGTTACAATTACCTATATTTATCTTGGTGAATTCCTAATTCCTGAAAAAATAACCAGTGAGTGTTTTCAATTTTCTGTTGTTGGATTTTTCACACAAGTGGATCGTTACTGCATTTATCATGCGATGGTTTGTTTTGAAAATTTTTTTCGGTACTCACGTATTTTTGTCTGATAAACCGAATTTTATAATGAAAAAGTGAACAAACCACTATTTATTGAGAGAAAAAGTTCGAAATTTCGCCTTCTTTCTCCCCTTGTGTTGGGGGCATTTGAAGCTACTCGCTCTTATTTTGTCATTGGACACTTTATATACTCATGATGTACTTCGATGGCACATTTTTATATAGAAAGTTCAACAGGAAATATGATTTTTATGGCGAGTTTTTCATATTTAGTGAACAAGCATTCCAGATGACGACCATTTAATCAATAGTCAATCAAAATACGAGATGTCAAATGTCAATAGATTGCTTTCGAATGTCATTACACACGCCATTATTTTGAATGATATTCTTCCTTCTTTTCACCAAATATGGATTAATCTCAAGAAAATCATATTTATAGTTGAATTATACAGGGTGTTTCGAAATTCGACCGACAACGCTTGACAGGTGATAGCCCTCGTGATTTCATAATCACTGAGATAGGAACATTCGGTCTTCAAGTGTTCAGTTCTCGAGATACAGGGCGTTGAAGTTGAGAAATTAAAATAGTTTTTTCTCGATATCTCATGAAAAATTGAATTAAATGCATTCAAATTCGGTATATGGTTTGATCTTCCAATGGTTAATTTTTTGACCAGAAAGACATTCCGAGAATTTTATCCAGAGGTGCGCTACAGAGGGTTGTGATAACTTTTCCGCACATATTTTCTACGCCACTGATGAAATTTCATTTATTTCTAATTTCTCGAATTGATTGTTCAATTATGTTGAAAAAGTGCATCACCTTCAACTAAGCTAAAATGAACAGTTATCGAGATATTTGACCCAAAATAGAAGTTTGCATAGTAATTTTTCATCTTTCTCGGTAGTAGGAAATTACAAAAATATTTGTTTTCTCTTTATGCGTGGAATAACTATTTCTGTTCAGCTATAGCATGAGATCTGAATAGTATCTAATCTACTCAACACCAGAAAAATATTTTTGCAATTTTCTACTACTGAAAATGATGAAATATTACTATGCAATCTTCTATTTTGGGTCGAATATCTCGAAAACTGTTTATTTCAGCTCAGTTGAAGGTGATGCATTTTCTGAACAAAATTGAACAATGAATTCGAGGAATTGGAAATAATCGAAATTCAATCAGTGGCATAGAAAATATGGAAGGAAAAAATGCCACAAACCCCTGTAGGGCACCACTGGACAAAATGTCCGGAATGGCTTCCAGGTCAAAAAATGGCCCATTCAAAGATGAAACCATATACCGAAGTTGAATGCATTATATTCAATTATTCTTGAGATATTGCGAAACAACTATTTTCATTTCTCAACTTCAACGCCCTGTATCTCGAGAACTGAACACTTGAAGACCGAATGTTCCTATCTCAATGATTATGAAATCACGAGGGCTATCACCTGTCAAACGTTGTCGGTCGAATTTCGAAACACCCTGTATATAATTGTCCAATATGATGAAAAAAGAAGGGAAATTTGTTCAAAATGCCATCCAGAAGACAGGTGAAAAGAAGGTGGAATTGGGAACTTTTAAGTCAAATATCTTCATGACAAATATCATGATAAATGCAGTTTTACCTTTTTGAGTAGAGTGTTTGTAGTTCATGTTAATATGATAGTTGCAATTTGATCATTGGAATGAATTCTGCATTCATTGCCACGAGGCAAATGACCGTTTTCAGAAAGAAATTTGAGAATGAGAATTAAAAATGCCCGTTTATTATGAACATTCAAGAAAATTTTCTCGAATTCAGAGATGATTTTGTTGACTATAATATACGAATACAAAACTAACTGCACAATCAAAGCTTTTTTATTTTTCCTCTACTCATACTTTTTATGAGAGAGTAATTGTCTTCTATTATTAATTCATCATTATAAATTAAGCTCTGTTTACTACTGAACCCAGATTGAGTAAAATCCTCGCGGTGAATTGCATATACCCACATTTTCGATAGCTTCTTGTCCAACGGGGAACTGAAAGCACGAACTTTTGAACCCCCCACATAATTCCCCCGACAAAAGGGAACACAACACTTGAAAGGCATTGTTATTTCGCCGATCACAACACAAAATATTTCACAAAACAGTAATTTTTCCGCCAATTATTTTGATGAATAAACAACAAAAGAATTCGGGACCGTTTCAAAAACATACGTGAATCACCGATGAATTAACACGAACTAACGCGTTAGTCGACAAGCGACAAAATAAAACACTGGCCCCTCGTGGTGACGTCACGAGCTGTTTACGTCAGAGTCTGCTGGCCTTGTTGTATCGGTGGTAACGCCACCGAGCCCCCTTAACGGGAAAAAGTTTGATTCATCAGTCCACAAAATCCTACGTAAGAATGTTGGATTGTCTATGTCGGCATTCAGGATCAATCGACAGAAAGTGTTTCTTCGAACTGGGTCCTGAGTCCTTGCATGGGAGTTGGAATGGATGCATTTTTTTAGAATGAAGAACTGACCATACCTTCCATGGAGATAGATTCAGCTTTTCCGCTATTTTTCTGATGCTACTAGTGGGCTCTGCTTCAAAATCTTCAAGAATTTGCCGATGATGTTGTTGATTGTTTGCTTTTGTATCTTTTGCTGTAAATTGCCAGTTTCGCTCAATCTACGTCTACGATACGTATTAGCAAACACGGACACGTGGGGTACTCGTCTTTGAGGAAATCTTTCTTGATAAAATCGTTGAGCAGCAGCTGCATTGCTGTCAGCTCTGCCGTACATGAAAATTATATCAGCATTTTCAGCATTCGAAAAAGCAGCCATTTGACAAATTGACAAATATTACAAAATGAACAAAATAAAATACAATGATTGACAATTGGGAAAATTTTGATTGATAAGTACGTCTGTCGCGTAGCAACAATGTAGCTACTCTATTTAGGAACATGTTAAATAACGAGAATCAAAATATGGGAACTGCACCACATCGATAAACCACACTCGAAATAAAAGAAATGGCATGTAGTAATGGAATATAATATATTGATGAACAAGACGAAGATGAAGGAAGTTTTGGACGATGTTCGAACGAATGTTTTATTTCGACAACTCCATTTTTTTCGCTTTTGAGGTCAAAGTTGGGTATCACAGTAACTCGTTACGTGAATTCAAATGAGCCACAATTTTTTTGAAATCACATGTGGATCACATTGAGTGCTTTACATCGATCAACTGGAGACTCTACTTCACAGGGGAAAATATTCAATAAGATAAAATACAACCCTGTATATTGAAATTGAATTCGCGCGCTCGTGCTCTTGCCTATTGCACTGCATATGGAATTATTCAGTCAGGAAGATGATACATATTCTATGTGCATAACAAAATGATCATCATTCATCATTACTAACATAATATCAGTGACATTCAGTTATCATTATTCAAACTACGGCTCAAAACTATTGAAATTTATCACTCGAATATTATCAGTTGATTTTACTTACTCTTGGGATTTCTTCTGATTCTCTCGTCAACAAGACATTTCTACCTGAAAAAAAAATTACAATTGATATTATGGAAGTTATATTGATCTCTATGAATCATCACAGAGACAGAATAAATTATTCATATTGACAAAATTTCCCTGAAATCGTGAAATATTTTGATACCAGAACTGATTTTTAATCTAATCCATTGACTTCATTGAATCACCGTAGAACTCTCAGCGACCTCTCACTCCTCTATAGATAGTACCATGTGAAATGTTCCTCAGAAATCTCTCCTACCATTTCATCACTAGCAATACCAGTCAGACGAATTCGACAGACCCAGTCATCATCATCTTTTCGTTGTCAACCTTGAAATATGTCAAATAACACTTTACCAAATCTCGTTCGTCTATAGAACGGCAAAGCTCTGGAATTCTTTCCAACGAAAGTATTCTCATTGGCCAAGAATTCTGATGCTTCGCTGTTCTTTAGAAGAACGAGTTTTGGTAGAGTGTTGTTCGACCATTTTCGAGGTTAACGACGGAGGAGAATGCTGACTGGGCCTGTCGGCTTTGTCTGACTGGTATTGCTAGTGATGGAATTTTATTTATTTTATTTATTCATTTATTTATTTATTTATTTATTTATTTATTTATTTATTGAACAAATAACTTCCAGACAGAATAGGCTCTGGTATAAGGAAGTACATAATTATATACCTATAGGTAAACATAGCATCATTCAAAATATATCAACAACTGTAAATTGGCAAACAAAGAATAATATTTGTCGAAAAAAAAATGGCATGATTAATTTCATCCAGTCCACTCAGAAATAATCAGTTTTTTTACTTCATTTTTGAATATACCTATATTTCTGCAATTTTTTGTATTATCAGGTAGTTTCTTGAATTCAGTTAAGAATGAATGAGTGAATCTTTTTTGTCCGATTAGGGAGCTAGCGGCGTCAAGATGGAACAAGTTATATTGTCTAGTTTCATGATTATGAATTTCAGAATTCCGTATCAAAATAATATTCGACTTCAATTTTTTATTTATGATATTATATGATATTTTGAGAGTTTCAATTCTATATATTCAATCTGAAGAATACGTATTTGTTATTTCATACAATTGATTGGTTGGTGTATCAAATGGGAGACGATTCAATACTTTTAACGATTTTTTATATAATGTTGATATTTTATTGAAATTATTTTTTGAACAAGATCCCCAAACATTTATTGAATAGTTGATACGACTCAGTATATGAGAGTAGAGAATCATGTTTGCAATTTTAATATCAAGTTTGGGACATCTTCTCAATGCACCAATAATTGGAGATATTTTTTTTGTCAGAACATCAATATGTTTGTCCCACTTCAACCTGTCATCAAACTAAACACCAAGATATTTTATCTGGTCAGTTTGTTTCAAGAGTTCATTTTTTATTTTAAAGGTTGAGGTAAATTTTTTGTTTATTTTTTTGGTGAAAAATCATATATTCTGTTTTGTTAGTATTTATCGATAAAAGGTTAGATTGGAGCCATTTTTCAAATATTTTCAAGTCTTCATTTATCATATTTTCTAAATCTGAAGGATTCTTGCCTTCATATAAAAGTACTCTATCATCTGCATACTTGGTATATTCACACGCTAGACCAATTTCACTGATATTTTGAACATAAAGTGAATATAGTATAGGTCCTAAAACAGAGCCTTGTGGGACACCCTTATTGATTAATAGTTTATTTGACACAGAGTTGTTTGATTTTGTATAGATTGTCCTATTTTATTTATTTATTTATTTATTTATTTATTTATTTATTTATTGAACAAATAACTTCCAGACAGAATAGGCTCTGGTATAAGGAAGTACATAATTATATACCTATAGGTAAACATAGCATCATTCAAAATATATCAACAACTGTAAATTGGCAAACAAAGAATATTTGTAATTGAAAAAAAAATGGCATGATTAATTTTATCCAGTCCGCTGAGAAATAATCAAGATATGAATTCAAAATATTTCTCACAGTGCCTCTGAGTCCCATTGTTTCTAAGTTTTCTTAAAGTGTTTTATGATCAACTGTGTCAAAAGCCTTTTTGAGATCAATGAAAACAGCTACCACATAATTTCCTGAATCAAGTCCTCTCTGGATTGAATCTATCACTTGTAGTACTGCTGCTTGTGTTCCACTGTTTTCTTGAAAACCAAATTGATTAGAATCAAAGCTATATTTTTTGTTGATGAATTCTACAATTCGTTTCTTGAGAATTTTTACAAAAATTTTAGAAAATATGCTTATTAAAGCTATTGGTCTATAGTTAGTTGGATCCTGAGCATTTCCATTTTTGTAAATAGCTCTTACTGATGCATGTTTTAATTCGTGTGGGAAACTTTCTTTCATGAAAGATTCATTGATCAATTTTGATATTGGTGTAGCTAAAATGTGTCTCAATTCAAATATGTCTTTATAGCAGAGATTTCTGAGGATCATTTCCCGTGGAAGTATCTATAGAAAAGTGTGAGGTATTCTAATGGGCTCAAATTCCTTCTATAATATCTAGATAAACAACGACATATTCATGAGGACTTTGGAACCCGTGGATAAAGCCCTGAAAGACGCCAAGATGGCGAAAACCAAAATCGACGACATAGTTCTTGTTGGCGGTTGCACGCGGATCCCTAAAATCCAAGCTCTACTATCCAACTTCTTTCAAAACAAGGAATTGAACAAATCAATCAACCCCGATGAAGCTGTGGCTTACGGAGCTGCGGTACAGGCAGCCATTTTGACAGGAGATAAATCAGATGTCGTCAAAGATGTGCTGTTATTAGACGTCACGCCACTATCACTAGGTAAATACATCTATCTATCATCACTGAGATATATGGAAGAGGTAGTAATGAATTTAAAAAGTCCGTTTATCGAAGCTAAGATGTCATGTTCAGTAGAGTTACTGGATGGTATTAGTTTGATAAGAGTTCGGACACAGAAATGACAACGGTTAGGGTTTTTTAATGTTTAGATTCATTAAGTTACACTCTTTGCATTGTGACAAGAGCACCATAGTCGTCCCGCGCTTTTTCATTCAAAATTGTTCGGATTCGACAATGAATTTTATAAACGTCAGAATTGAAATAAAATTCCATAATCATACTTTCGAGGGATGGAAATCACTTGCTGTGTAATGAACTGTGCCAATTCTGAAAAAAATGGATATCATTTATTCATTTTTCCAAATCAAATATCAACAAGGAAGGAAGATATGAAACGGCCTGATGGGTGGAGAATCAATTTGAAGACGAGCAAAATTTGTAGAGGTGTTCGTCGAAATTCACTCCTCATAACAGCATCTGATAAGAATGAAACTATATTTCAGGCCCATTTTCAAACAGAATATTTCAAAATCGGTTTGAGAGAATCTGTTGTTCCATTAATTTACAAAGCAGACGATTTCGAGAACAAAATTCCATTATTATCATCACACAAAATAAACAAAACAATCATGGAAAAAGAGGCATATTGATCGCAGAATTACATGATGAAATTGAAAATTTGAAAACGGAACTGAGAAAAGCAAGTAAACTACAACATGATATATTATTGAATGGCGTTTTTGGTGCCGACCAAATTCAAAATTCAACAATGAGAAGTGATTATTTATTCATGCATGAAGGGGATCATTCACGCTGGAGGTTATCGTTTTAGAGATATTCACTAGATCGATCGATGTTATACTTAGCTTCTAGGGTGCTAAGTTAAGTTGCTGAGAACTTCACGAAACCAAGTGTATGTGGTATATCTCGTCAAGATAAACTACTTTTTTCCTATGAAATGTTTATCAAAAAATGATTTGTTCTCTGTATTTCAACACCCTGTATCTCCGAAATGAAGCATTTCTGGAACCAAGCTTATATAGACTTCAATTCTCAAAATTGTCTCAGGAATACTCCACTTGAGCGTACTTATGTTACTTCCTGTATATTGAGAATACCTACCTTCAATTCAATATACTTATCACTGAAGTACAATTTCACATACAATGAGGAATTATAGCTATAAGTTTACACATATGTGTATATTTTCTAATATTAAAATGTTGTTACATGCATTCTTTGCATTTATATAAAAGTTGTTCTGCTAGAAGTGTATCACCATGAATTGAAGTGGGTGTTTGTACCCTATTTCCATTGTCCATCTACAGCTATTTGACAGAAAATATAACCTCTAAAATCGTATCTGACAATCAGGCGCAACTAGTGATATTGAGAAGACGAAGAGCCGAATATGTGTCTTTTCCTTTTATTCACTCAAACCGTTGTATTATAGAAAATAGAAAAAGACAAAAAGTTTAGCTGTGTCCGAACTCTTATCAAACTAATATCATCCATCGACTCTAATGTTTAGTATAGGGTTCAATATCACTGAAAAAGGGTCTCATTAGGAGTATAAAAACATTCTCACCTATTATTTTTTGCGCGTTGGCATCTCAGCATATTTTGCTGGTGAATTTTACAATGTGATAATTTTTTGGCAGTGCTTCTATATAATGATCTATTTGTATGTCTCTAGTTTTTTCATTGGAAGTTTATTTTCATCACATAGGGCCTGACAGGTCAATCAATGTTCTTTCTCATCGATAATTGATATCTATCCAAATCACTTGTGAACAATTTCAATAATTTGAAACAGTTCATATATTTCACACAAAGTTCACCAGCCTATGTGGATGAGATCTTATTTAATTCAATGTATATTATCAATATTTCCTACGTCAGAAGACGTCTATATATTCAACAACAAAAAAGCATTAAAGTTAGTAGTTGACAGTGATTCATTTAATGTATTATTTTGGTCGATAGATCAAAGGCCAATATATCGGGCATGGTCATTTTCACATCTGCCCTATATTACAAATTTCCACTCAAACAAATGTTTAACTAGCCAAATCCAATTATTTTGTCGTTAGTAAGCAGTATCGGGCAGTTTCAGTTTATATATCACAAGGAATTCACGTCCCTTCAATCATTTATTTCCACTGACCATACACTGATTATTGTTACAAAAAAAAATTGATTGCCTTCGAAAATTGTAGGCTTTGTCAATTCAATTGATATAAAATTAGGACGAGATACTTTCAATGGCTCACATATATAAAGTGTTTCGAAGAGGATATTATCAAGAAACAAGATGTTGAAAATGAAAATACACCTTTTTCATGATTATGTCGTATGAATTTATTTTAGTATATCTTGCTCTTATAGAGTACGCTAGTTACACGGTTCTTACCGAGTAGTTCGAACATAACGATTTTGAGATTAGATTTTATACTCCAATTGTTAAGTATTGTTCCTTTAAATTAAAGTTCATACTATATATAAAAGTGGTGATGCTCAAAATCCATTAAATTATAGGCCAATAGCATTATTAAGTATTTTCTCCAAAATTCTGGAAAAAATTCTCAAAAAAAGAATTGTAGATTTTATCAATAAAAAATATGGATTCGATTTGAACCAATTCGGATTTAAGGAAAACAGTGGTACACAATCAGCAGTGCTACAAGTAATCAATTTCATTCAGGACAGACTTGACGAAGGAAATTATGTAGTAGCGGTTCTCATGGATCTAAGAACGGCTTTTGATACAGTTGACCACAATATACTTCTGAAAAACCTTGCTTCAATGGGAATCAGAGGAATTGGACACGATCTCTTGAGATCATATCTTGAAAATAGAACTATTATAACTGAAATTAATAACTGTGAGTCTAAGATACTATATTTTAACAAAGAGGTTCCTCAAGGATCAGTGTTGGGTCCAATTCTTCATCTATTAAACATTCAAAATATTGAAAGGATGAATTTGATAGGAAACTATACCATATATGCAGACGATACAGTGCTTTTATATGAGAATAAAAACCCAGAACATATCATAAATGAGGACTTGAAAAAAATTGAGAAATGGCTTTATTCCAATCTTCTTTCTCTCATTTGCTTTTGGGTGTATGATAAATTGACATTCATATAATTTCTCGTCAAAGGAATAAACAAAATATTGATCTGAATATTAGAATGAAAAATGAACGTTTGAAACAAACTGCCCATACCAAATACTTTGGTATTTGGATTGTTGAGAAATTAACATGGGGAAAGCACATTGACATCCTCATAGGAAAAGTATCTCCCATTATTGGTGCTTTGAGATGATGTCCTAAAATTAGTACATATACATCAAATATTATTCTCTATTCACATATACTCAGTCGAATTAACTATCTCATAAATATTTGGGGATCTTGTTCCAAAAATAGTTTCAACAAAATTTCTGTTCTATATAAAAAGGCATTGAAAGTATTGTATCGTCTTCCATATGATACTCCAACGAATCAACTGTATAAGGAAACAAACACATTTTCTTTGGAAGATCACTTTTTAATCAATACTCTAAAAATTTCCTATTATATCATCAACAAGAAGCTTAAATCAAATTTTATATTAATCAGGAATTCCGAAATTCATGATCATCACAGTAGACAATATAACTTGTTCCATCTTGAAGCTGCAAATTCTAAACTTGGGCAAAAAAAGTCTCTCTCACCTATTTGAATTTGACAAGACCATGGAATGTCACATTATTTCCCAATCATTTTGCCATTATCACCGAGATTATCACTGAATTTACAATAGCAACGCAAATCATTGACTATTAAAAATCGAGAATGCCATGGATATGGATGACTAACTCGTAAATGTCGTAGATGGACAATTTTACAAAGAGGAATATAGTGAAACAGACAGGATTACGAATTGAAATATAAGATACCTAATATAGAGAACAACATTACCTTTATTTCAAGAACCAAGATCCTTTGGAGATTTATATTCTGCTATAAAGTATTTGTATGTTATGAAAATACAGAATTTTCCAGGAATCGAAACAGCGGGAGGAGTTATGACAATTTTGATAAAAAGAAATTCAACAATCCCAGCGAAACACACACAAATATTCTCGACGTTCTCTGATAATCAGCCAGGAGTACTTATTCAAGTTTTCGAAGGGGAAAGGTCGCTAACAAGGGACAACAATCTTTTAGGAAAATTTGATCTGATGGGTACGTACAATTATTCTCTCCTCCATTATATTTCATACCTATAAACATTGCGAACTTCTTCGACAGGGAAGAACATCAGCAGTCACTGCTGTCATCTGAAATCAAATTCTTGAAGTTCCAATGAAATCGTGGATCGTGGTCCTTGACGAAAATAGGTCAGACAGTTTTGAATCAATGCTTATATGTATGTAGGGAAAAGTGGAGCACAGGGCACCAGTTAAGCGAAATTAATTCGTGTGTTCTTAATCCGTATTGATCAATGGCTTCTTTTGATATATAGATGGTGGTCTGGAAAGGTAATATGGTGGATGATATAGAGCTGATCGAGTGAGCCAAAACAATCTTACATAAAAAGATTTCTGTCGCACTTACGGAGTTTTTGACCTTGAAAGTTTCTGCAAGTTTATACATGAGTTATGAAGTCATCGAGAGTGTTCTATGGTGTTACCAAAGTATTGAATACTGTCAGAATATTTTGATGTCACTTTTGACAATGACTGCAACTACCTCAATGTTATTGAATGAACGTGGGCCCGTATTTATAGTCGCTCCCTACGGTGACCTCGTCCCAAAGCATCCTTCAGGACCAGTTTCCAATTTATTGTCGTAATATGAGCTCGAAGGGAGCCTCAAGGAAATGCCAATTCCAAGGGAGGTAAAGAGGTACCTTGAGCATTCCTTGATCCAATTTCTATCATTATTTCAGGTTATGGTATGAATTCCATGAATGGAATGATGAAATCGAATGAAGTTATCAAATGCATATTCAAGTCTTGAAATTTGTACAGATAATCAGAGTTGAGTATATCGATTTCCAGTAGAAGATGATTTGAGTTTTATTGAAAAGTAAATCTTTTTTCATTTCAAATAATAGGTATGCATATATTACAAATAATGGTATCAATCAATATTCCATAATGGAATAATTTTGTATAACTCCTTACCTAATGAGTTGAAAAATATAGAAGAAGCAGAAAAATTTAAAATGAAATTAAAGAAATATCTGCTCAGTAAACTTTAATAGTACTAATCATTCACAATTTGATTACTTGTAATGGATTATAATATTTTCATTTTATATTTTATTATAATTCTTTTTTTTTAGGAAAAACAATAATTGTGCAATTATTATTGTTTCGATTTATCATGTTTTATAATATGTATGTTTTTGTTGTATATATCCCTATTATAAACGATAATGTTTCTTGGGGTAATAAAGACAATCAATGAATTATGAGGATTTTTTCATGGAATTGAAATACATACATTTTTGAAATAATACTCATATTTTTATTTCATGTAAACGAGGAGAGGAAAATACCAAATAATCAAGTAACATACATTTTCAATGAACAATCACACAAAATCACAGTTTCATTCGAAGTATTCAATCAAATGGATATGTTTCCTCTTCCTGGTATATTATTCCATTGCTGCTTGGAAGAATCCGGTTTCAATAGTGAGATATTTGTATTATGATTTTTCAACATCCTCACATCGATAAACTCTTCGACTCTTTCTTCATTTTGCGGAACATTGGATATATCTTGTCTGTGATCTGAAGTAATATATTAGGCGTTTTCGAAAACTTACTCGGGTTGATCGGATCCCTAACCTGTACGTTCGGTTACCTAAACCGAGTCACCTACCTTTGTTCGAAAACTTAAGTGTTGCTATCTCGATCACTGACTCGGGTTGATTTTTCGTGATCCTACTCGAAAGCATCAGGGTCGCCAGAATCGCAAAGGACACCGCATGCGCATTAACAATTTATAGAAAATCTATGTCAATCGAAAAATGCAGGAGCTTACCACTCCACAACAACAATATGATAATAAAAAAATAGTTTCTTTGGAAAAAATTCTGATCTTTTAATCTCCATAATTTGAGTTTTATGAGCCAAGGAAGTGCGACAACATATAAGACAAGTTCACCAATCACCAGGTGAATATAAATACTTGTAACCATATCAAATAATATACTTGAATTTCAAATTTACGAACCCATAGAAACAAAATTAATTCTGTGTTACTAACCCGTTATACGTTCGTAAACGTTGAACACGAGTAGGGATCCAAGTTTTTCATCACGTGACCTCTCTGGATCGAGTTAATAACCCAGAGTAAGTGTTCGAAAACACCTATTATTAGGTACAATTTGAGCCAACCTCTGAAGATTATTACTGGATTATTATTATTATTATTATTATTAGAATCTTTCGATGTCCACACTCAGTAAACATTATCAAATTTGACATTTAACATTTTGTGGCAAACACGTTACAAGAAACAACAAATTTGGTCACATAGAGGAGTCCTCAAGGAATCCTCAGATAAGGAAAACTTGAGGAGTTCTTGAGGAAACGACTATAATAACGGGCCATAGAGTTGTTCCCCCAACTTTTTAACGGTTGGGATGTATGATTCTAGAAAGCGATTTTCCCTAGAATGGTACAAGATATCGAATGAAAGAAGAAAGATGAAGTTATAAAATGATGTAAGCAAAATGTCAAATTTGTCACCCCTATCAAAAATGCCTCCAATATACTGAAGAAAATCGCCCTATCCTGTATATAGAACATAATCACTGAACAGCGGTTCATACGAGGTCAATATCTGCGTAACGAAATGCGATAGACATTTTTTGTTGTTTGTTGTTTGTTTATTTATAATTGAAAATCCGTGATTGTGCAATCAGTCCGATCTACCCCATACATCGGGGGTAGATAGGACCAACATGGAGGTTATAGTGGAAACTATAATTCCAATGGTGTACACAAAAAATTTTTTTTGTTACAACATTTTGTTTGGAGTCATGTTGATCTCGAAAATCAGAATCATAAATCAAATAATGTATTTCCTCATATATAAAAATAATAATCTCGGTGGCGTCAGAAAATAAGGGTTCACGAATCACGGACCGAGAACGAAAAACCTCTATTTCTACTGATGACTTGTTGGCTAGAATTATTAGGAATTTTGGAGCAGGAAATGAAACAATACGAATCAATAAATAAACACATATAAACCGTGTCCAAGATGAAGAATACGAAGACATCCTTTTCTTGAATATACTGTATATGCAATACAATCTGTCAATTCATGACTATCACTCAGTCCTATACCTACTTACTTTCATACCGTTCTTTCAGAAGCATTCATTTCAGAATCGACTGCATTGATTGATCGAATGATAGTTTCTCGATGAATTCTCAAACCTTTTCGAACAAGAAAAATAACGTCTTTTTTCCAGGAATACCTCCTGCTCCAAGAGGAATACCTCAAATAGAGGTGGCTTTCGATATAGATGCAAATGGGATATTGACAGTAACAGCTTGTGAAATAGCCACAGGGAATAAGAGTAACATAACCATAACAAACGATAAAGGTAGATTGTCGAAAGATCAGATACAGAAAATGATTGCTGATGCCGAAAAATTCAAAGAACATGATCAAGAGATGAGAGCTGCGATTTCCTCAAAGAATGACTTGGAGTCGTAAGTTACAATGTTGTCTCATAACTATTTAGTTTATCGATTCAGTATAGTAACCCTATGGCGCTCATGAATTTTTTCATTAAAATTTGTCTCGGCCACTCAAAAGAGTTCTATTTTGTCTTTTTTTCTGGGATCTAATTTGACTGAATTGTGCATAACTTGTAATCAGTTATTCAAATTGATGTCTACTTATGGAAATTAAATCATGAAAACCATACCTATACCCATATTTCTCAAAGATGTCCAGAATTTTTTTTAAGTAATTTCTTATTATGAGACGAATAATCATCCCTTCATCCTTTCGTGAAATCTTGCATTCTCTACGTGAAATCTTTGAAATTAGGATATTCTGTTCAATGGAATACATCAAATGAGTAGGTATTCACTGTAATACATAATTCATCTCACTCTGGTATCTTTGCATCAAGACCTTTGATGTCATTCCGGACGAACATGAATGAGGATATTCATAGTTGGCTGAACATTTACTTTTAATGTCAAAGAAATAACGTAACAAGGCACACTAATCCCCTGTTGATTATCTTTCACCTTTCTAACTATTAATCTGATATAATAATGTTAGAATAGGAATTCTCAGTGCTCAGTGGTTGAAAATCTTGTTTGCACAAATGACGTCAAGCTAGTGACTGAATAAATTCTTAGAATGATGGTTAGTAGATTTTGAATTAAATTTAAGTTATGATTCATGATTATCATGATTCATACCAATCGTTCTCAAGAAGAACATTCGGAAAAATATGAAACACTGAAAACACGTGAAGCAATTTGAAATTATGAAGTTTCATTCATCAATAGTGGCATAAAATCAGTTCAGAAAGTATTTTCGAGATGGAGCTTGTGCCAGCCACTACGGGCTAACAGGCTATCACGTGCTGATGAACACAATGTAAACAACTGGGAAGAATCTCTAGTGAACGACGAGTGAGGCAAAAATATTGTTCATATGGTTACGGATACATATCTCTTTCTATCTTATGTTGGCTAATGGGAAGCGCTCGCATTATTTGAAATATTTTCTCGTTTCTTGCTCTTATTCAAGTATAAACGTGAATTAATATGAATATTCAATAAGGAAAGAGAATAATGTTGCAATCAATCATATCATTCAAACATTGTTATTGATTTTTTCATTGAATTTTTGGAATTTCATTTTCATTCTCACATGATGAGGAAGTCAAATGACTACAAAATTGACAATATATATTCTAATTGGAATGTCACAATATAGTGTACAGGGCGAGCGAAGCTCAATGTCTCAGCACTATCAGAAGAATGAGAAAAACGATCGAGGTCTCTTTTAAGCCTAATTAACAAGAGTAGGTAGCTTCCATTAACATTTCACGATTAAAAGGTGAATGAATGGTGAAAAAAACTACTATGTTTAGACGAATATGTACCAACACCTTAATTCTTTGTTTTTTGGTGAAGGAAAAGCTCCAAAGGAAAACCTGAAAAAACAATATAGGTGTAAAAATTTCAAGTTGTTGTTCAAATCTTCACAATGTTTTTTAGTACCTCATCATCAAGACTATCATTCTCCTTTATACTTTTGGTTTCAGTGTTTCCAATTTCCTTTGCAATAAAATATGCCTCTCGAATGAAACAGTTTACGGATTTCATCATCAATTAACTTTGGGACTTGGGAGCTGGAAATTGTAGGCAAATCAAGGTACATATAAAAAGCATAACATCTATAGACAGAACCTGAAAATGAACTACTTTAGTTCTCCTGAGAATCTCAACAATTCTCAACTTACCCATGAAGGACAATTTCTGATTGTCTCGCTTGTTTTGCATCCGAAGGCAACACAATATGAATAACCATTGTTCATTAAATTTGAAATCACAAACCTGTTCAACAACAATCAATTCAAAACAACAAATTCAGTCCTTCAGAAGAAACAAAACCCGCCAAATTTAGGGATATTTCACATAGAAAAAAAACAATGAAGTTCTGTCTTCACATTTTTCATCTGTTTAGATGAAAAACACATCTTAAGTAAGTACTCCAATCATTGGATGAAAAAGAGGTATGCACCAATACGCCTTCAAACGACACGAGTGTGAAAGAGACAGTTTTTACCGTAACACAAAGCTATCTTTGTTGCAGCTGCCCTCTCAACACACTCTGCTATTCGAGAAAACGGCAGTCTCCCAGTTGTTTACATTTTCAGTTTCCGTTGACTCTGCTTCAGAATGATAAAAAGCAACGATAATATGGTTTCAGCAATCAGCATTAGTGGCACATTTCGAGTTATGCCACTATAAATTTGTGTTTTCTTTCATTTTAGTCAAATCTGCCAGTATGGTAGATACGTTTTGTTTATATATTTTATTGGTTACCGTATTTTCCAATGCAGCAAATATATATCTAGTACATTTTCGTTTGATTCAAAAATAACTATTCATTGCACTTTTCATGAATTTTCATCAAAACTGTATAATTTGGTTCCAACAATAGTGGCACATCTTACAAACATCATATTTTTGTAATATCACAGTCAAAATAAGTTAATGAATAATAATTTAATGTCATTCATACTTCGAACGCAGTTTTCTCCATAATATTCAATTTTGAGGTGTGTCACTATTCTCACTGATTAGCGATATATCCGTTGTATTGTTCGTTCAACGTACTATTGATATAAAAACAATGAAAAATCATACGAAAACATGTAATTCTCCATGTTCAAAGGTACATTTATCAAATGAGGACCCTTGTTAACGATCCAAACGTTGCAATCAAATTGAGGGCAGAGGACAAGACGAAAATTAATAAAATGTGCTCTGAAATCAGTGATTGGATGAACACTGATGATGTCAAGAGTGAGAAAGATTATGTGATGAAAAAACAAGAGCTAGAAAACTTGTGCAAACCAATTATTGCTAGTCTTTATTCAGCGGGAGCAGGTCCGCAATTTCCACAGTTTTCCAGGCCTGATAATGATGATGGTCCAATAATAGATGAAGCTGACTGAAAGTTCGTTCTTGCTGATTCAATACTGGAAAGATTGAAGATAAGAAGTTTCCATATGGATATATTTGAGCAATACTCCAGAGTTCAGTTTCTCCCAAAAATTATTGAAATCACTGTATAAATAAAAGAAGATATTGAACATTTTGTATATTTACTATGATTTATTATAATTAGAGTGTGCAAGAACGTATTTATACAAGTGAAACCTGATTATAATGATCATGATAAAACCACGTCATTAAACATTTCTGTACTTTCATTCATGAGGGTTTATTCAAATGATCCAGCAGGAGATTATATAAGAATATGATAACGACAATGAACTGGACCGATTCAGGTTTCTCAAGATCAACGATTGAAGAAGTTTCGTAGTTAATTTTGTTTACGTTGATCAGAGCAATGGGTGATTATCGCAATAATCTTTTTGGTTGAATTGATGAAATGAATGAATCAATTAGGAGAGAGACAAATACTCAAAGTATAATGCAATGGTCACAAGGAATAAATAATTTATAATTGTTCTATCGAAAATTGAGAGACTTATAGACTGGACGGTAGTGACTGATTTTTTGCAACGGTTTTTCAATGTTTACAATTTTCAAGTAATGATTTTCGTGCGTTTTCAACATTTCCTAGACAATTATCAATTTGTGCTCGCATGCAGCGGCGTCACCAATCAAATTTGAATTATCACTTGTAATACCACTGGAGGTCAAATTATTTCCGGAAAGTTATTCGACCTCGTGTGGTATTCAGTAAGAAAATTCCACATCAGATTATGTTTGCAAATTAAGTAATTTTAGAATTCATTTGTTCATTTGATTTGCATACAGGTTCAGGAATAAATTTAGTTCGGGTCGCAGTTTTGGCACCAATAATGAATTCCTGATTACTACCTATTATATTCACATGAAAATACTAGTTTGAAATGTAACATATTATATTCTTCCATTTTATATTAACTTCGGGATACTACAAGTGATAAGAAATTATAATTCTGTCAATTAATTCCTCATAGGTATAAGTACATACTGGTAGTAGTAGAGAAAGGTGAGGTAGTCGCCTAGCAAGTAGGCCCCAGTGAGCCTTTTTTTGCCGACTCCTGCTGTACACGTCATGTGCTCATAATATCTCATATTCCTTCTCATAATTCTCCTTCACGAACCTCTGTGGATTTCTGATGGAAATCAGTAAGTCCGTCCACCTTAGTAATTTGATCCTTCTGTTGAAGCGTATCAGTACCAGATATTTCAAATTTAAGCCTTCCATAACGCCTTACACTGGCCCATCAGGTAGTGGTATGACATTCTATATAATAGATGCAGTTAGAGCATCAATTGGTTCTTAGCCTATTACCCAATTGAAGTGGCACAAAATCACTATTTCAGGACATCAAAATAATATTCATATTGCTATGGTTATTTGTCATCAAAACCCAATTTAACTAAATGAAAATCACTGGTATGGAATTTTCATTGAAAATATGATGATTTCCAAAGATGAAAAATGTATGCAAATTGGTATTTGTTGAAATTTGAACAAAATGTTAGCGCGAAGAGAAAATACATAATCTGTCCTCGTGTAGGAAGACCCGAAACTATTCTCATGACAAAAACACTCTATAATTTCTACACCCGACATGTTTAAAAGAGAGTTTTCATGCAAATACAATTTGCCAAACAATCTTCAGAACTAGATAACCTGTCATTCAATACAGAGAACGTCAAAATAGGACAAGTCGAAACTATCGACCAGGTCTTGATGAATATGTTTCTTAAACTTTTGGCAAATTTTTGGTGGTGCGTTTTTCCATGGAGAAGTGTATTTTCATGATCAAAGTACAGGGAAGTTGGGTATAGTGACATTGTATGCGGAAGAATTGAACAGACACTCTTTTGTGATCTTATTTTGTACTCTTAACAGGGTTCGTTGTTTTGATCAAGCAACAATGTATCGATTATCGATTTTTCGATAATCCGGAGCAGTCATAATCAGGCTGAAAATGTACCTACCTAAAATTCAAACACATTTTTGATATAAATATGACATCGGATGATGGAGTGATGAACATTCGTATATGAGTACATAATAATATACATGGTAAAAAAAAATCAGATTTGAAGAGGCAAGTGAAAGAAGGGGTCAAGTAACATAACTCCTCCTTCCACTTGCCCCTTCAATTATGAAAAATCCTTCATCAGGTTGACAGAGGCTCTTGATATCAATAATAATCCAAAATTCAGAACGAAGACAAGTGGGTCTATTCAGCCCTCCACTGCCACTCGTAGGTCTAATGTGACTAGCACCAATTAATTCTTCACAAAGTATATCCAGCTTCTTCATAGAGCCTATGAGTATACTACTGTACACCGTAGCGTTTGACAAGTATGATTGATGAATTTCAGAATGGTGGGAAGAGTGCAGCGTTGCTAGTTATCGCTCCTTCGTTCGAATCCGAATACCAGTGCCATGAGACGAAAGGTAACCAATATATATCAGCGCGGCAAGTGCGAGTACAGCTACTACATTCTTTCTTCATACTACCACAGTTACTACGACTCGTAGCGTAGTTGACTGTGCATTTGTATCCCACGTCGGCGACCAGGGTTCAATGCCTGCGAAAGTCGTCTTTTTTCAATTATGTTTTCTCGAGTGGTTTTCCGATTGAGGTTAGATGGTTTAAGAAAGTTGTGTCCTTCTTCATGCAGGAGGAATATTTTCCTTCGTCCCTGGAAAATACTACTGTCATTTTGGGAAGAAGATTTATTCAGGCCGAGTGAGGTTAGATGCTTCAAAGAAAGTAGTGTCCTTCTTTATGCAGGAGGGATATTTTCCTTCCTCCTTGATAAAAGTACTGTGAAGACATTTACCGTTGAGAAAAAGTTTTGACGAAATTTTTTTCTAGAGTAAGGGTTTCATTCATGAAAATGCTATTCATTCTTTTTGAGTTATATCCATATCAGTTCAGGATCATTGGAGTACTTTCTTTCTCAAGTTGAAGAAAATCAGCACAATCCGGCAACCACCACCAGTGTTGTAGAGGAACTTCTAACTGTGCAGAAGTTTGTCACTTCACAAAGTGCACAACGGTACCAATCGTCGAATCATCACAGATATCACGCGCGGGAAATTCAAATAATGGATAATTCCTTATGCAAAAATAAAGGGATATGTTCATATTTTGTTTCTAGAGCATAGAAATATGTCACACAATAAGCAACTGAGATTGTTTTTAAATATTCTCGACAATAAAACAATAACTATTCCAGTAGAATATTTAAATGGAACTTTCAGATTGAAAGGAAATAAAAATCATCAGTCCAAAAAAATTTATGAAATAATATTTGATATTCACATAAGAATATGAAAAAATTGCGAAAAATATCAAAAACTGATATACATAATACATTGCAGGTCAAAATTGTCAAAGAAACGAATTAGTGCCAGTTTTTGTATATTTTTCAATAGTGCGTGCCCTGGTGCCACTCCGGAACAGAGCTGTTTCATCATCTTCAAGACACAAACGGCACGTCGAATCATCTGACAGCCCAAGTCTTGAAATGTGATGATTCAGGCGACAGGGGCCTTCAAGAATGCCTGTTAAAGGGGTCATCCCTGTTGTATTCTAAATTTTTTTGAGTAGCATCCTTCGAAGAATGTACAAATGCCTTGAGATAAGCCAATCCTGTTAGATCCTGCCGGAAGTCTGAAACTCTGCTTGCAGTCCAAATACTTATTATATGTTTGGCAAACCTTGATGGGATGCCAACGGCAGCTTCTGGTCCAATGAAACTACTTGTAGCACTCTCCCCTGCCGTTTCGTAACCTTCCATACCAGAGTGGCCAGGAATCCTGACCAGTAACAATTTATTGAGTTTCCCAATCCCGAAGAGTCTTTCTTGGCTGTTCAATACCAAATCTGGACGTTGAAAGGAAGAAATTTCCGGAAAATGGGAAAGATGAAATGATACGTTCAGAAGAAGGATAAGGAAGAAGAATAAATATCCTGATGGTAGAAAAAAAACTAATTCAGCAATGTAACGTGACAAATATAAAAGATTACGTTCTTTTCATCTATTGCTTATATTGTCATCAATCTTCTTCATAATGGATGTCAGTAACAAGACGCCTTATAAATAATTTCGAACATTTCACTCATTTCCGTACTAAATTCAGGATCATGCAAATATTTCGCTATTGATTTATTCATTCTACGGGTTTAAATGTGGAATCGAGATAAGCGTTCATACACCCCAATTCTTGCCAACCTGCTGGAATTAGGCCTTTGAATGGTTATGCGATACCACACGCAAGAATGATCAAAAAAGCACCACCATTATTCAATAATACAGGGTGTTGACGTTCATGAAATTTATTATCAAATTCAGAACAATTTTGAATGAGGAAGCGCGGAACGACTATTATGATGATGTTGTCACAATGCAAGATGTGTAACTAAGTAAATCTATGATTGAAACATTCAAGAACACTAACAGTTGTCATTTCTGTGTCCAAACTCTTATCTAACAAATACCATTCAGTGACTCTAGTGGGGATGAGGCGATTTGCTGATATCTATCTATAGGTGACCAAGGACTTGTCCCTATCCAAGCTGTGGGAACTCGTGGCGATGGATGAATGGCACCGAGGTATGGTGTCGCTAACGGGGCCTCTGGGAAACAGGGCCCATCTCAGAGTTAACAGCCTAAGCTCTGTGCAGGGGGCACCACAGGGCTGGACCAAGCCCTTTCACCGTCACTCGTAGAAGAAGGAAAGCTTTTTGCCTTCTTCGTAGAAGAGAACAGGGATCGGAAGAGTAATCTTCAGGAACCTGATTGGAAAGGGTCTTCCATATTAAAGAGGCCCTTAATGAGTACCATAAGTCGTATATGGTGAAATTGAAAACGGATGTAGGTGAGATACAATGGGCCACTAGGCCTAAGTGTCATCGGAGACATCAGTCAGACGAGCCCAAACTATTGAATGGGTTATTAGACCCAAATGATGTTTATGAAGGATCTCAACCACCTAAAAAATTGTTTCAAAAATTGTTGAATCCGTAATTCTGTTACCCCCTTCGAGCAACCCTCAGAAGTCTTCGAGAGTGTT